TGCAACTATAATTTTATGAATTAAATTATAATTTATTAGATACAAAAATGAAGTTAAATAAAAATCACAAACTTTGGTTTCGAATTTTGGATAGTCTTCTGGTTCCAATTCGAAATTATCGTATTTAGTTAAATAAATTGAAATAAATAATATAACAGTAAGTACGAAGAAGAAAACAATGATGCCATTTAAGACACCCAACAACACTTTCTTAATATTTTTGGTAACAATCAAATAAATTGCTGCTGACGCAAATGCTATTGCTAAAAACATGTTAATGAAAGAAATTGCAATGGAGTATCCAGATACCCCACGATATTCATAGCGATATATTCCTACAAAATCGTCAAACGTTTTGAGAGTACCTATACTGACTACAATTCCAGTAAAGAAACTCGCCTATTTTTGAGTTTTGGGTTAATAATATAGTAGAAGAACACTTTTCGGGTTTTGCTATGAAATGATTAATAAACAAACAACAAATACCAAAGATAATATTATGAAAAGAATTGACACAACCGCTTTACATGGGTTCGCACAACAACCTGTCATTTAATACATTTAATAAGTTCACTTTATTATATAGTTAATAATATGGTCAATTCATTTAATAAGTTCTTGACGTATAATTGGATTTTGAATGCAAATTCATTTGTAGTTTGCATTATTTTCATATAATATTCTAAAAATTCATAGCCATTTTGAATGTAATATTGAAAATTTATCGAATTGATTGGTCAATTTTTCATTCAATGTATCATGTTATTCATTATATAATTAATATAAAGTTTTGTAGAAGTTTCATCTACAATAATCTTTTTTTCACCAACATTTTCAGTTAATTTCAAATGTTATTACTCTGAAACCAAGTTAGGAAAAAAATTCGTTTTTTCAAATTAATTTAAAAACTAATAATATATTGATAATATATTATTAGTTTTTATTCATATTGAATTTTTGTTTTAACTGTTTTTACCATTTGTTTATGGTTATCATTACTATATAAATAGTTATTATTAATTGGAATTGTTTTACTAGACAAAAATCTATTTTTGTATTAACATTTAAAAACACAATGTTATTTGAATTGATTTGTCATATCGAGATAATTATAAATTATTTGATGTTTTACTTCTTTTGGGCTGTATTTTTTGATACTATTTAAACTTTTAAAAACGGGAAAAGTATTTTATAAACTCGTAATTTCCCGATTTTTAGACCAATTGAATTTTGTTCAATAGTATAAAAGGTGTTAATTAATTAAAATACAAATGCATTTAATACTCTTACAAATATAATTTAATAGAACCACAAACAACTATTATGTATGATATTATAATTGTTATAACCGCCCTACAAAAGTTCATTAAAACATACTTAACAAAAACGTCTAAAAATTCCAAAAATAATACAAATAAAATCGTAATTGGATTTAAACGAAATTTTATCAAATACGAATTTAATTTAATTGTGACTGTTTGTAATGTATTTCAGAATGACAACATTTTTACAACCTTCCAAAATTACGTCTTCTTTTCGTATTGTTTCAAAAGTCATATTCCGACATTTTGACACTTTGAAATTGCTTCTTTGAAACAAAGAATCGCGAATATGAATTTTAAAATTAGCGCACTCATCAAAAACACCATTCACTGAATCAAGTGTCAAACAAGTGCTATCACTACCATACACCTCTTTCATATTAATTGTCGAAGAACATTTTTCAAAAAAATTGGAATCTTTTTGAGATATTTTGCATTTCTCAAATGTCATATTTTGAACTGTATATGTGTTACATTGAAAATTAAAAGTAGAAGCGGTTGCGATAACTTTATCAACGATGTAGTAATTTTTATTGTCCTCTGACATCACAGTTACACATGATTTGTTGAATGTGTTAGTTACAGGTAGTTTTCTACACTTTAGATAGACGCTTGAACTGTTCATAACAGTTAAATTATTAACATCGATTTCCTTAACGTTGTGATTTGGTGTTTCAACAAAATCTTCATAAGAAATATATGGGTATATGGGTTCAAATTCATTAATACGATCCATTCTATGATGTGTTTCCAATAAAGTGTTTTCAATATTATTTTTATCCAATTTCATGAATTCACAATTTGAAATAACAAGTGTATCAAATGAAACATTTTCAATTGGAAAAACAGCGCCTTGAAATTTGTCAAGAGTGAAACACATTATAAAGTCGATTTTAACACGGAATTTTAAATGAACACAATTTGTAATACAAACATCTAATTCGTTAATTTTTAAAGTTTTTAATTTTGTTATTTCAAGTGTAGAACCGTCGATTGTTTGTTTTTTAATTTCATGAATAACGTTACAAGAAGGTTCCTTATCGTTCTTTTTGATATTTTTGTCATACAGTTTTTCTAATTTACCATTTCCAGTATCAAATTGAATTAAGACATTTCTATTCCTTTCAAACATGAGACTTTTTAGATGTGGTACTTGAACAACAAAAATTACATTCTTACAACACAAAATCGAGAGGTTTACACATTTTGGAAACGTAACATCAATCACGACACCATTCTCTGAATGATCGACTTGATAAAAATTGATTTCTATGGCACGTTCAAAAGAAACATAATACATCGTGGCGATTAAACAATTCAAAAAAGATATTTTCTTTGGAATCAGTTTCATTGTATGGATTATAGTTGTATGTTTAACAGTAAGTATTTTGCATTTCGTTGCTTTTATAAAATCGACCTGACTGTTCTCACATAAACAAACTTTTTCTATAGAAAAATTTGCTTCACAATTTACTTCAAAACAGCGAACAAAATGCAGTTGTAACCGACCTTTTCTTTTATTTGGTTTTATACTAATTTTATTGCAATCAATAAAAGAAAGTGAAATTGTGTGTAACACATCAAATGTAAAAGTAACATTTTCACAAAATACAGCACTGAATATTTTGAGACGATTTGTTGGAATTAACAACTCTGAATTTGTTACGTGTTCCAAATGAAGTATTTTTAATTTTTGAAGATCAGGAATATTTAATTGAGTAGCTTGAATTACTTGAAGCTTTTTAATAAATGGAAAAGGTAATTCAACAACATTTTCCGTTTTTTCAATATCTTTAAATTCATTTTCCTTCAATTTGTTGTAAAGTGATTTGGTGTTTGTAGAC